TGTTAGGTTGAGTGAATCTGGCCCAATTTTCCGGTAATGAAATCGGACTGATCATTTGTAAATTTTCACTAATAATATATGTGCATTAAATTGCCAGGTCAAACTCCGTTAGGTTAGAAATCTATTATTGGGGCTCAATAATAAACCAGAGCATGTAATATACATGTTTTATTTTTCAATTACAAGCAAACACAGTTTTTAATTCCATTTTCCGATTAGAAAGTTCCCTAGCATCGCTTTTAGAGGAATATTAATAAGATTTTTTTCACTAAAGACATTTAAATTTTTGTGTGGTTAGTTTTTAGTGATTATTAATTGATGATGACACTTAAGTTGATATTAATGTTCCGGTTTACTGGTCAACTTTCCTAACGTGTGCATCTCGTTAATGCTTTTTTGGTGAATGTCTGTAGTTATTCGTGTCCTATTTTGCGCTTTTGGGGGTCATAAGATATGTAGGATGGACCCTCAAGGCTCGTTTATGTTCAATAGACCGTGAAAACAAAGATTCAATTAAAATCGTCTGATGGATTCGGGAAACTCATTCAGTGCGTGTATCCATCAACTTCACTACGTATAGTGGCTTTTAATGTGTCGGAATTTCATTACGAGGTATTTGAATTAAATTCGCGAGGTGACAGACTTGATTACCACCGAATAAATAATCTCACGGGCACATTTTCTTACATTATCAAGGGATGATGGATCATTTTTCCCCCTAATTGGACACTTATAACTTTCTCTTCAATCCCCCGACTCCTAAATTTTTGATGGTGCAATTATTCACGTTTCTGCTGTTCTGAAATGACTCATTGTTTGGTTATTACATCAAGATATCAGTCTATGAGTTGTTGTAGAAGCTAACTACTAATTCAGTGGTAATTCAGTAACGAACGATTCAAATGTGAAAATGGTGACACGTTTCGCGTCTTTTTAAAAAAGGCCAGCTTGAAGAAAGTGTTGAAAAATGACGAAGAACAAGCAGCATAAGTTCCCATTGATGCGTGCGACGTTTGCTACTCTCAGCAGAAGATTCAGGAATAAAGATAAACTGAAAAGGTAATAATTTTGGTACCGTTCATCGGTGCATTTTTATTTGAGTGTTATTCTTAAACAAAATGGACCTGTTGAGTGGGCAATTTTAATGAAATTTCCCCACGGAATTTATGATAAAACGCGTGCCTGTACCGCATGTTTGTCAAATATATGTAACATCTCTAAAAATAGAGCGACCAGAGAAAAATACGCAATGACGTGGAATGATAACTTTATAAATATTAATTACTTGTGAAAAAAATTAATTTTATTACTAATGTGAGATTTTTCGCTCGTGGTAACCCTTCAAGTTGACTCTTCAGTTTTGTTGGTATGCAGCAGCCCCTTTCGTCGGGTATAATCGTCACGCTTATCTGTTATTAGGTATTACTTAAAATTCTTCTCATATCTGGAATTTTTATCACAAAAACGAATTGGGACAGTCGAATTATAAGCAGTAAACAAATTTAAATTGTTTCTGTTATTTCAAATACTGAACTTTTATCATTCACATTTTTTGTTCGTTGACGTAGTTTTAAAATCAAAATAATTATTATTAGAATCGAGAAAAAAATGTACATATAGTTTGTCTACTGATATTTAAAAACGCCTTTTTTATCACTAGTTAACATTTTGAGTCTTTTACGATGGTCTCCTTACTAGAAGATTATTTACCTACTCTGCAATAAACTCTCGAATGCTGAGGTTCTTATAATTCCAGGTCTGTACTCACATATTTGAAAAAGAACTACATAAATCAAACTCAGACACAGGTCTATAGTGAAAACTTGTTTTTAAAAGAGTATATATTGATTATTATTAATGCTTACTTACATTTTACGAACACTTTTGATTCAAAATTAACAGATAGATACGGTCTTTAAAAAAAAATTCAAAATTCTCAACTTGAGTTAAAGCTTTACACTGTTTTCTTGTTGATAAATGTTTTAAAATATAGATAGACGCACTTTATTTATAAAACTACCCCAACAATTTCTGCGATTTTCAGGCATTTTTTTCTTATTTTAGATTACCTTGTTTCCAGTAAATTTGAAACATTTCAACAAGTTCGTGTCGGATTTATAAACACCGAACTATTTTGCTTTTGATAACTTTCAGGGGAAGGCTTAGTGAGTACAAACAACAAGCAACTAAAATACAATTTCGCGCTGGAATTATTGATACAACAGAGTTATTTAGAAACAAAAACGAGTGGGTCCCAAACCCAATTTGTTAGTAATCTGCGACTACCTATATGATTATGAGTAGGTACATATATAAAATTTAGTCTTGGTGCTGTATTGTAACCTGCTCGAAAACAGGTCCAAAATTACACTTTTTTAGCAATTTTGAACTACAATGAACAGCCTTGAGCTGAATTTTACAACGCTTTGGCATGTTTATGTAAATATTTCATTTTTCGTATTTTTAAGGACGTTGAATTTAATCTAAAAACCCGCCGCGTGTAGATTCAAGTGTAAATTAAATTGGAAAAAAGAGACTTCCGCTTGCAGATTTTTCCATTTTGTCGGCACGTTTATTATTTATTAATAAATTTGTCCTAGCAAGCGTGCCAGAAAAACCTTTTGTCCCCGACGAAATTACCTATTTAAATGTCACGTTAGAACAACGAATGCCCCAAGACTTTCATTTTGCCATTTTAAACATGTGGTGTAATTAGCAAGTGACCGGAGTTTCGCTACCTGGAATAATTAAATGTACACGACAATATATTGATTGGAATCTCATCCAGTGGGAGGACAGGCATTCCTGAAACGCGCGCGCGCCCTCCCTCATTCCTCGCCAACGACAGTTCACCCGGAGGTTCTCCACTTGGTACAGGTCAGGGTGGCCTCCGGCAATATGTTTCGGGTTTTCCGGACTCACAAACTAATTGCATCCGTTCGACATGAATCGCAGTGATGCGGTCGGAAAAACGACCAAATCCCGATGCGTAAGTATTGCCGTTTTAACCCCCTCGTGTGAAATCAACTTCCGGGACCCAACCTCGGAGCGATAAATTTTACCACGTTCGTGTTTTTTTAACAGACGGTCGTGGGAATTGCGTTTAATCAAAATAGAAATCTTTGTATGTGTTGAAGGCGATGTTTAATGATGAATTTCCTATTTCTGTTGACATGGAATTTTTTATTTAAAACGTGTAATACCGACGATTAAAATTCTTAAAATAACCCGTGGTGATATATTGACAGGAATTTCAGAACACGGTTTAGCACTAAAAATGTCAGATCATATCAGAAAAGTGTGACTATCAGGATCCATTTTAGCCATTTAAAAAATCACCAAACATGGTGTTATGGGATGAAACTTCCGGTTTTCACCATTTCGCTCGTCGTTGCTTTCTCCTTTATCTACTCGTGTGTCCCTTTTTTTTCTTCTATGATCCATTACAGTATTCTGTTTACATGATAAACACCGTTTGGTGAACTTCCTTATTTCCCCAAGGTAGTTTTACGTTTCTACCTATCTAAAATCTTTATTGAAATAATGAAAAATAGAATTTCCACAGTTTGATCGTGTTTCATTTGTTCATAGTTTGATATTGGATAACTTTGTTAAAGTTTTCTCATAGTTTCAACCCCTCATTCTATTAAAATGGATATTGGCCAATAAATTTCCTCCACGTTCTTTATTAACGAGCAAACAAATTCCATTCCATTAATAGGCACAGCTTCGTTATTGTCTGACGCAAAAAGAGCTGCATTTCATCAGAATTTTCTTTTGATTTTGAAAGCTTTAAGCAAAAATACCAAACAAGATGAGACAAGTTTATTGCCATCTTAGGCTTGTTTTAGACATTTTAATGTCAAATATACATATGTTCAAGTACTTACTTTTCTATAAGCATTCTTAATTACCTATGTATTCTTAATAAACTCACCCAGTTTGTTACCAATAAGACCATAGAATGGACACTTAAACTTAAGAAAAAAGAGAGTCGACAGAAAGATATATCGTGTTTACAAATTTTATGGGTTTGATTCTTTATGTTTATGGCCACCCCAACATAAAATTGTCACCAGCACATTCACACATCACATTCTAAATCTGTTTATCACCCTTTTTTGGGGTCTAGATATGATGGTTTTCATAAAAATTAGTAAAAGTTAAATACTGGATTAAGTCATAAACACGGTATATCTTTCTGCCGACTCTAGTAGGAAACCTTGCATGAACATTAGTACAACCTACCTATTTCCGAAAAATAATTAAATTGTTGTGAAAAATGACATGTTACTAGTGCGTTTATATTTTGTGTTTTTATCTTTTCACTTCATTTGTTTGATAAATATTTTGTCCCAAATAAGAGCCCTGTCCATAAATTCAGACTCTAACTGATTATGACTGCTAATTTTTTCCATCTTTAAATAAAAGCAATGTTTTCTTGTCTTTCTAACTGACTCAAGAGCCACACATTGAAATATTTTGTACCTATTCAAATTAAAAAAAAAAAGTTTTAGATTTTAGACTAGTGGCAAAAAAATGGAGATGGTATGCAAGAAAAACAGTTTTTTCGTTTTTATCTACATTATTCCAATTTTATGGATGCAACCCTTGAACTAATTTAGCATCTCAAGTGCTCATTAAATGCATAAGTAGACATATAAATAATTTCCCCGATTAATGTACCTTGGAAAAAAATTCAAGGATTGAACTGATTATTATAATAATTGGACATTGGAGAACTATTTCAAAACAGATCAATAATTTTTTTTTTTTCGTACTACTCATTATTCATTATTTTAATAAACAGATTGTATTTTTGGTAAATAAATAATAATAAACCCAAAACCATGATGAATCCTAAAGCGGGAGCGACTGGTCGAGTCCAAAAGATTCCCACTGTTGCTATGACATCCAACACTTTGATCGCTGATTCCATTGCCTTAATCCAAAGTCTAATTGTTTCGTCCTGAATTACGACTCGTGTAATTTCTTTGCAGAGAAGTGCGCACTGTGATACTACAAAAAGGAGGCTCTGGTTTGGGTTTCAACATTGTTGGAGGTGAAGACGGAGAAGGAATCTTCATATCATTCATTCTGGCCGGAGGTCCGGCCGATTTGAGTGGTGAATTGCGTCGAGGCGATCAAATACTCAGCGTGAACGGCGTTAATTTACGAAATGCCACTCACGAAGAAGCCGCTCAAACTCTCAAAGGAACGAGTTCAACGGTCACAATGGTGGTGCAGTACAGACCCGAGGAATACAACCGCTTCGAGGCCAAAATCCATGACTTGAAACAACAAATCACGCATCCCGTCACGGGGACTCTACTTAGGACATCACAAAAACGGTCTCTCTACGTCAGGTGAGGGTGAAAGAGAAGGGTTGACGATAATTTCTAAATGAATTTGTAGAGCTTTGTTCGATTATGATCCAATGAAAGATGACGGGTTGCCGAGTCGGGGACTCGCCTTTCATTACGGGGATATTTTACACGTGACGAATGCTAGTGACGATGAGTGGTGGCAGGCGCGGAGGGTACTTAACACGGGGGATGAACAGGGTATGGGGATTGTCCCGTCGAAAAGGAGGTGGGAGAGGAAGCAAAGAGCAAGGGATCGCTCGGTGAAATTCCAAGGACACATGCCCAATATTATGGATAAGGTTTTATTTCCCGATTTGCATAGTGCATTTTTCTTATTGGTATGTTACAGCAATCAACATTAGATAGGAAAAAGAAAAATTTCTCGTTTAGTAGAAAGTTCCCCTTCATGAAAAGTAAAGATGACAAGTCGGAAGACGGCTCAGATCAGGAACGTAAGTCACTTTTTTGATTTTCCTTTCACTCATTTGATTTTTTTTTTCGATTTCTTTTACCTCCTGAGATTTGAGTTTTATTTTGATATTGTTTTTATTTATATTTGTTTTTTTTTTCTACCTTTAGACTCTCCTTCTGCCACTCCTAACTCTGCTAATGATAATGAACGAAATCCCTCATGTAAGTACTCATTAACTACTTTTAGGTGTAAACCGGTAATGAATAGGTATCCTTGAAACCTGTATGATATCCGTTATTTTTGTTATTTTGTACTAACAGCACCCCACTAATCGATTCTATTGTACGGTGGTTGTGGACTAGTCTAAATAATTATTTCTTATAACAGTCAAGGTTATTGAGTGATTTAGATCATGAACATAATTCATGTGTATTAAAAAATGTTACCCCGGCCTAATGTGATGGTTTGTGTTACAGCGTTCATGTTATGCTACACCCAGGAGGACGCCAATGCTGAAGGTATAGTATGATTCATAATTACTGTCTTTATAAAAATATTGCATCGTCGTTTTGGTTTACTACATAAATTTTCTTTTGGCTTCTTTCTGTGTTTCATAGTACAGGTGAAATATTATATCGGGTTGAGCTACCTTACATGGAAGAGATCACGTTAATTTATCTGGAGAATAATGATAATAATGACGACTATAGTAAGTGTTAGTGTTGTGACTGCATGGCGATCAGCAGCGCCCCTTGCACTGATTCAGCGTGTTCCGATCATTTGTTTATTCTGACAAATGGAGTTTTCATTTTGGCCTAACATTTCATCGTTGAAATGTCAGTTTGGTTTCAATGTTACCGAATCGACACTCAGACCCCAGCAGGAGTTTTGTTGTGCGGTTTATGCTAACTATCACGTCCCACCCCTCCATCTAGGCTGAACATAAAATAATGTGACATCGCGTGCTTTACAGTCGTATTAGGCCACTGGGGTATCCGTCAGCTGAGTAGCAGTAGCTTGTTGTTTTTTCTTGGGGCAGCTTTTAGATGGCGCTGTCACATTATTTGAAAACGCCTGCGCTATCATGTAGGGTGAATGTGCTAGCCTTCTAAACAACTAGAAAATAACTGCATTAACATAGACTTAGCGTACTTTGATTTGTACGTAAGTAGGTGTGTTTGTTTTTATTTGCGAATTTGCAATTGATTTGTTTTGTGTCACTAAAACGAGTTTTCTGTCTTTTGTCTCTTTTCACAGTTGTGTCTTTATAGAGTTTTAACATGTTTTCAGCTTCTTATCTAGGGTAACTTCATGTGAATGTGTGTTATAGATTGTTAGAGGTTTCTTGGTTTGATTTTTTTGTAAGTTGGCTTGTAAGTTTTTCCAGAAAAACGGGAAGATTTTAATACCAGGTTTTTGCCAAGTGTCCAACCATGTGAGTTATGTTTCACCAAAATTGATCTTTTGGTTTTAATTTCAGGCAATGAGGAAAATGTTCTCTCATACGAACCTGTGCAGCAGATGGCAATCAATTACACGAGGCCGGTTATTATTTTGGGTCCTCTCAAGGACCGCATTAACGACGACCTCATCTCCGAATTTCCCGACAAGTTTGGAAGTTGTGTCCCACGTAAGCTGAAACAAAATTATTTGCAAACAATAGGTAATTCGGATTTATAGATACGACTAGACCCAAACGGGAGTATGAAGTAGATGGAAGGGATTATCATTTTGTCAGTTCAAGAGAACAGATGGAGAAGGATATACAAAATCACCTGTTCATAGAAGCGGGACAATACAATGATAATTTGTATGGAACCTCGGTCGCTTCAGTTCGGGAAGTGGCAGATAAGGTAAACCCCACAACAAAAAGAAAAAATTAATTTACCTAAATTTATTCCAGGGCAAACACTGTATTTTAGACGTAAGTGGCAACGCAATCAAGAGACTACAAGTCGCTCAACTTTTTCCTATTGCCATATTCATAAAACCCAAATCAGTCGAATCAATTATGTAAGTGTTTTCCGCAATTAAACCAATGCGTTACATGTTGTTTTTTTGCAGGGAAATGAATAAGAGAATGACGGAGGAACAAGCAAAGAAAACATTCGAAAGATCTCTCAAAATGGAGCAGGAGTTTGGGGAATATTTCACAGGTATTTTTTGCTGATTTAATTGGATGAAACTAGTTAATTGTGTTTTTCAGCGGTGGTGCAAGGTGATACGCCTGAAGACATCTACGAGCAGGTCAAAGAAGTGATTAAGGAACAGTCGGGTCCAACAATTTGGGTGCCAACGAAGGAAAAACTGTGACAATCGGCCCCTCCAGTGTGGACGCTGCCATCGCGCTCACGGCTGCACTGAACAGTTGACAAAAAATAGACACATTTTGTTGTTATGTGCGGTGCCTCCTAATTGCGTGCTTACAAGACCAGCTCATTCATTAATCATACCTTTATTATTGCCCAAATTGTTGATAATGACAAATACAAGAGTAGTTATGAATTTAAAGTAATCTTAGTGTATGGTGCGGCGGTGAGAGAAATACCCGCAAAGCTTGTATAGATGTGGATAACCTCCGAGCCCTTATTTCATTATTAAAAAATGCACTTGTGTTACTTAATGACTTAATCTATGATGAATAAGCATAATAGTCAAATCTTGAAATCGTTTATAATATAATTAGCCAATTGTTATATGACTTTTAGGTAGTTTTATCAATGTTTTTTGTAGTGTACGATGTATATTTAATATAAAGGTTTCCCTGCCAATAAGTTAAATTGTATATACACAAACAAAATGATATATGTGTAGTATATAACAGAAATCTGTTATTGTTATTTGAGACAAGTTGTGACCTAACTTATTTGAGTTAATAAAAGAAATTTTACTAAATTTAAATGAGTTTTTACTTCGTCCTGAATCAAACAAACAATGAGGTGTACAATATTTATTCCATATTGTTGTCATTTATAAAATTAATACTCAACAACTTGCAGATGGATTTTTCCATGTAAAATATTTATAAGTAATAACATCATTATAATATGCAACTACAACACTATAATAAATTTAGATTCATATCTTCATATTGCTCTCTTGATGTTCATTTGTTGATCATTAAAGAAATTTTCAAAATTTTTGTGTAAACGTGATTAACAGTATCCCCTCAGGAACATAGTGACTATGTTATCAAGCAACAGTAAAAGGATCTCAAGTATCGAAAATTTTAGTAAAATTCTTGATAGAATACAAGAAAATTGTTATAGAGGTATAAATGCATCAACATTGACAAACGTTTGGAAAATTCGACAGACGGTCATTGCAATCAAATCAACAATATGCAAATTAGGCGCTATAAAAAAACTCTTCACTCATCCCTGACCGATATTTAATAGTTGAAAATTCATTTTTGCTATTAAATATAAGTCACTTGAGTTCCAGGACTACTCAGCCACCTCTTACGTCGATTGAGCACTCTGACTACCTCAAACCTTATTACATAAGATTAAAATATAGTTAGTAAGTTATTTACTGATACAACAATTATGAAATTTACGTAAATTCACCCAACGAATCCTAACTACGAATTTTAATTGTCTACAAACACAAATAAAATAAAAAACAAATTAGTCTTACAAAATATACTGTAACATTAACAATGACATAAAATTTAACAACATGGAAAGGCTATCTACCACTGACAATCCAATAGTTTGGCACCTTTGAACTTTCATTCCAGTCTTTTTAAATAAATTTGTGCAAGACAAAGCTGCCTGGAGTGTTACAATGGCAGAGGACCTTTGCATAAACCAACAATCTCATTAAAATCTCCAATATTTCAGTGGAATGCAAACTTAAACCTAAGTACAGATGAATAAAATAGGTACGTCAAATAAACTAACTGTCGTCCATGAAATGATCGATTTAAGCAGTTAGAAGTACGCTATATATCTCGGTTAGTTCTCATGATTAATAATATGTAATTGATTAAAGGCGAAGTTGAAAAATGAAACGTCGGCTGGAAACAGCGACTGTTCTAATATATCAGTTGGCACAGCACAACTTAGCACTAGTCAAATATTGCAAACTTATCACTTGGGGGATGAATACTAAGTTCGGCACTAAACACTAACGTTTAGAGCGATTATGTCGGCGCTCCGGGCTGAAAATACCTCAGGCCGTTTATCTGCAACCAAAAATTATAGTAAAACGAGCAAAATAGAAAGTCGACACTTACAGTCATATCATACTCGGTAATAAATGCTGGAATTTCCAACTGATCAGGCGACATCACCGCATAGAGATACTCCACTCCGGGCAAACTGTGTACTTTTTGCTTAATAGCCGGCGCCATAAACGTCGTAAACCACCAAGTCATCATCTGGGAGCAAAACGCATGTTATAAATTTTTTGTTGAGAAAATGAATCGAGTTACCTTCGTCCAAAACGTCGGATGCACGATGTAGAAAGCCTTAAGGTTCTTCTTATACTTGTAAGGCAACACATTATATACCTCTCTCAGCCATGAAAACGACGGATAGTTGCTGCTGGAGGTAAGCGTATGGAAGTAGGCGATAACATAGTCGCCCTTCACGATCGGATCCAGCAACGTTATTAGATACAATAAAGCCTGCCAACATAACGACACAAAATAATTAACTTCATACAAAGTTGAAATTATTCGATATCAAAGCGAGGGTGAAACACAAAACTCATTTCGAAACACGTGACGTATGTATTATAGACATCTCTTTATTGTTCACTCGCCGGCTTTTCTATTATTCTATTTGCATATTGTTTCGAAAACAAAAGACATACTGGAGTGAACACGATTCTAAGATACAACCTGTTGCAAACTTCGAAATTCGAAACGCGCACTTAAATTTCATCTTTTATACCCTGTTGATTGTCGACCAAAAGCCACTATCAAATCAAATTAACGATCACAAACTTACAAGTAATAGAATTACGAACCACATTAGCCGAGTAATTGAATGAAATGATGCAAGGTCGATGCATGTACAGCGATTCTCACCTTATCTAAATTAATTTTGTTAAAAGGAAACCATTTTCCGATGAATACCACCACTGGCCGACCAAGTCTATCTACTCCACTCTGATACAGACAGCCGATTCCAGAGACCTCCGTCAGGTCTTCGGTTTTGGCACGTCTCAAGAGCCGCTCGTATCTGGAACAAAAGCGATTCTTATCAAAACAGCTAAATTAAATACTGGATTTTTTCCACTCGCAGCTTATTGGAGGCTAAAGTCAATCAACAGAAAAGAAGGAAATTCGAAATTTTCCACAAAAAGCAAAGATCTAAGCCTCCTTATTTATGTTCTCTGACGTGTATTTTTATACCCAGTTACGTGGGAATAATAAAAATCAAAACAAAACAATTAAAATTTGTTCTGCATCATGTGATTTGCAAAGTAAAAGATGTAATATTAAAAAAGTAAAACACTCCCTATAGTTCAGGTTTAAATTACTTTGGGAAAACCTTCAGGAAAATTTCCCGAACATAAAACTGTATCTCGGATGTAATCAAGAGTATTTCCTGCAAAACCTTGATCTTATCTTTACGCTTTAACTCATTCATTCATTTTCTCTGAATTTTTCCACTTTTTTATACATTCAATACCTTTTAAAGTCGAAAAAATACGACTCAAAAACATGTTTATTATAATTATAACTAAGCAAATGTGAAAGTAACAATTTTAAAATTGTGTTGTAATCATCGCTTAACAGAATTGTTTCAAACCACCTTAGCAGAATGGCAAATTATTTAAAAAGATATTGAGAAAAAAAATAAAGTACAAACAATTTATAATATAAAAAAAAATTCTAGTTGTTTGCTTATAAGACTATAAATTAATACTATCGCAACTATCAGTTTTAAATTTAGTCCTACTTTCCATGTCCATTCCAGTGAAATTTACAACTGCAGACCACCTTAAAAATAGTCACAATGCAATGTGTAACTTATTAAAAACGCAATTAAGAAGACCTATTGTGCCAATAATAAAAGCTAAAAGCTAAAAGCATACAACTCATTTGTTTACTAATCAGGTCTTAAAGTATTATCTCCACTAATATATTTTTTATATTTCGAGGCGTCAAATGCGAAAAATATTACTAAAATATATCATAACTCACCATGAACCTATAAAATGCAAACATGAGTGACGAAAAACTCACGCAAACGCTTATTTTTAGAGTGAAAACTTGGCTGTAACTATGTCAATTTTAGATTTTCGAATACCTGTCTTCGTCGATTTCGATGCTTGTCCATCCTAGAAACTTGGTGACGCTTGTCAGCACATTCGGATAGGGACTTTCGACGGCCATCACGACTGTTAACAAAACATTAAGAAAGTCCGGAGTTGCGTCTTGTTCTACTGCGAATGTCTGAATGGTACGGTACGGCAACTCCGGCAGCGCTGATATCCGACATACACCAACAACCCGCTTGATGGTGTGTTTGTTGCGTTCAAACACGCGCACTAAATTCGCGAAAATCAGGAAGTTACGGAAGAAGCACTCCTTATATCTAACACAAATATGTACACTGTATGGTCCAAATAACACTTTATGGCCGGCTTATACCAAATCAGTTTCGTGGGAGCTTAACTAAGCCGTCAAATTACTCAGAAATTAAACAATTTTAACATTAAACTGTTTCTTAAATAAAGAAAGCGAGTAAACTAATTTATTAACGACCCGTCCTCTTTTCTACTTCATTTGCATTTGGGTTTTATTGCAACGGTCTGGTGCAAATTAAAACCCTTCTCTTCGGTCGGCGAGACAGAACTAAAACATGTTTTGCATTTCTATTTGCGTATTGTAGTTCTAACATCTGGTAAAGTCTTTGAATTTCATTTTGTTGCAAATCGTTACCGTTAGCCAAATAAGAAAACCTACCATAATTATATAAAATCAAATCAAGAATTTCACTATTAGTCTCCATTTTATTACTGGAAAATATAAGATTTTTACAGCTTTTGTTGCAGTGACGAAATAATCGTTATAATCTTGCTAGACACATAAAATATTGAGTTTGTTAATTTTTAAGTGCACGCCCCAGTTTCATTGAACTACATTATTAGCAGTTAGTGATTCTAGAAAGCGCTTCATCTCGTAAACCTAATAATGTAATAATAAGTATTGGATTAGCAATAACACAATATTCTGTCTTATATCACTCATAAAAACTATTAATTTTCCGTATACATTATGAAAAAATAATACAGCAATAAAATGATTATATTTTTAAAAACAAACAAAAATGTAAAATAAACCAAATTTTATTACAAGGATAAAAACATGAATAAAGCATGTTTATAGATTACACTTGTCGTTGAATTGTTAATGGGAATTATTTCTACTGCAAATGTAATGTTTTGTTTTAAAAACCACAAAAACCCAATCAAATTTTATAGCTAGCTGTTTTCGCAAAACGACTGTGTTTGATAATTTAGAAGAGCTTTCATCAATTTCTCACAAAAAATTCAATGTTGAAACCAGAACCAGAAATTCTAACGTTGTAAGTAGTGGTGAGATGTTCTGGAACACTTTTAAAAGCCAATAATGTAGTTGCATTGTCTCAAGAGGTGGACTTTTATTGAGTTTCATGATAAAAGTTTTATGTCGCTATTATTACAGACATTGTTGTGGAAATGTGACCATTTGATTGTAAGAGTTTAATCAAAACTTCTTTTTAAAAAACACCTTAAATATTTTATTAAGGTCATCAAAATACACCTACGGTTAATTTCAGTGTCAAACTATTGATTCAAGTTATTTTTCCATAAAGAACTTTATCGACAGAAAACTAAATCATCAATTTCCATACCACTTACTAACCCTGTTGTGAGTTAATGAATTTTCATGGTCAACCAATCACGCATTGTTACAATGTTTCTATTAAACTTTCATTTCTAATTTGCTGATTGATTGTTTGAACGAGACAAATCATTGTCAATAACAAAAATACAACCCTAATATAAAAATGTCGCCTAAATCCACTAATACTTTAATTATTCCTCTAACTCTGGATTAACGCGATTATTTTATGGAAGAGCTTTACTTATGACGTACATAACTAATCGTCACAGTTGAAAACAAATAAATAATCAGTTTTTACGGAAAACTAAATTTTTACCTTGCTTTTAACAACCACACGTAGAAAGCCCTCTTGAACGATGCGTTGTTATGCTTGTTGATTTTGCTATGTCTTTCGCGCATAACGGACGACATGTCCGCCTCAAGATAATAAACTTACATTAATTTCCAATTTTAATAAGTCGAACCACATCAACGAGAACGAAGTAACTGACGGTTGTAACCGGGGTTGCTCGATAACAACACAGTTAGATGGCAACCAATAACAGCCAACATAAATTGTTTCAATGAATTATTAAAACATCGTTTTTGTCGATGTACAAGGCGATCGATAAGCTTAATGACGGGAGTAGGCGGTGATAGGATGTTTACATGAAGACAGGAACTAATAGTAGACAATTGCAATGATAACGTAGCGCGAACTCGAACATAACCGAGCCAAAATGTTTTGAAAATGTAAAAAAAAATATCTAATTCGTGGACAATCAGAAAAAGGAAATGCATAGTGAAAGGTACAGTTGATAATCGCAAACTTAAATCGCTTAAACCTTACTTATTTCTTTAGTTCTTATATTTTCTTTGCCTTTATTTTTATTTCCAAATGTTTAATGCATTTGTTTGTATTCGTGATACACGTTATTAAGTGCACAAAATATGAAAAACTGCATTAAAAACGAATTAATGGAAATTTTCCAAATCTGTTGCATCAGTTAATCCACCGGCAACCGATGACGTAACGCCACCATGAGATGTTCTCAGGTGACACACATCGTCAAATTCACTTTACTAAAACTTACCGTTCCTGGTGTTGTATTTCCTTGACCATAATGTCGGCGAGTGGATCATTATAGGGTCTTTCCCCAAGAAGCCGCTGCTGATCGAGATCACCCTGCATTTGACTGAATGCATGTTCACCAACGTTTATGGATGTTTCCAATTGAGACGACAAATCTATAGATTCTTCGTCGGCTGCAATCAATATTGGAATTGGTAAGTATGTCACATGGTTAATTTATCAAATGATCGATTTGAAACTCACACGAAAATTCGTATGACTCGTTTATCATGATCGAGGCATCCCGAAGAACAGTATACAACAAACAAGTAAGAAAAATAGCAGCTGAACGTCTTATCTTAATTAGAGACAAACAAAATAGCGGATTACCATTCATTGTTTATGTTCGTTAAATTTTTCAACCCGGTTTTAGTTTCCTTGAACCTGACCGATCTATACTCTAAACAGTTGCGTGCTCTAAATTATAGTTATTTAGTCGGATCAGAGCGATCAATTTGTCTATTCTTATCAATTTATCCGATTAGAAATTTATTAGCAAACTCATAATAACGCGTAATTTCAAATATCGGACACCCAGCACCATCTATGTTTCACTTCTAGAACTTTACAATAAAAACTACCTCTCTCAAGACAAGTGATACTAACCGTGAAGAGTGTGTTGTGGATTGTCGATAATCCGAATTTGCCTGTCTGGCACCATGGGCTCTCCGTCGTGTCCTCCAACGTCTGAAGGTAATTGCCACCGAGCGGCGTCTTCTTCGAATTTAGATCGTGGAAAATAAAGAGGTAATAGCACTTCGTAAATACCTAAATCTGTATTGTCGACCGTGAAGATGACGGTATCAAAAGAACTACCGTGGTGTTCGAGAAACCTCCTCACCGTACCTACAAAAGTTCAACAACGACACTAAAGGGATTGGCACAATAACCTTCAACTAATTCTGCAATGGCTTCGTAATTAAATGACCAACCCGTTAGTTCAATAATAATGACTAAGTCGTCACTAATCAGATTACTAGACGCAAAATAAACAACTCACAAAGAATCGAATTGTGAAAATGGAACAATTGCAAAAACTAGTTCTGGTTGAATAAAGATAACTGTTAGGTGATAAGACGTACAAATGTGTATTTTCTTAAATAAATACAGTGCTTACGTAATGCTATATGTGCTCCTTCGTCGGGGGGATAATTTCTTTTCACGGAGTTTATGACACACAGGGCGATGGAGTGGAGACCCATTTCTTTTGATTTCTGGAGAACGTTTCTGCAAGGAAAGGTCCAGTTTAGTTTTAAAATAAAATACAAATTTTCTTGATTTTACATCAAAACAAAGATGATCAGAAGTATTAAACGTTTACTTCTATGAAAAGTGAAGACTTTTTTGCGTTCAAAACACCCAGTAAACTGTACTTTAAGAATTGAAACCAAATATTTGTTTAGTTTTAAAAGAAAATCGATAATTCATCCATCATTGGTATATAACTTGCTACACGTGGCAAACAAATAGAAAGAGAAAAGTAAGCAAATCATTTTGACATGAGAGAACTTTCTTGTATAAACTCCTACATTTACTTTTATTGTATTTTTATATTAATTTATGTAATGTTTTAGTTTATAGCAACTCATGTTGTGAAAAACGAATTGTTGAAATACAGCACAATTAACAAAAAATAAATGTAAATAAATGTTTTTTTTCTATATGAACTTAACTTTGATTCATTATTTTTCTCAGTTTTCATGTCAACTGGTTGTTTAATTACCTGACAGATTCATTTAATTCAATTACCAAATTTCTCAATAAAAAATTCTGAAATAAATTAAATACGTGAATCCATTTTCAAATATTTTCTTCATATAATGATTTCTAAAAAATCAAATGCTCAAAATATTAACCCAACAAAAGTTTTCTTTTTTCGTACATGGCATGGCGTATGCCAGTAATTCAAGAAACACAATAAACTCATTAAATTTTTAAACATGCTTTAGGTAGGACATTAATTCCATTTACACGGAACACAAAAATATGCCATTAAGCTTAAACAAACGAAAAATCTTATCTAGATATGCTATTTACAGAAATTTTTACTTTTATATTTACACATTTCCGGACTATTTGATACATGCTTTTTGTTCGATAATCTAGTGATTTTCTAAATAAAAAACTATTCTAGTAGAGTTAATTCTTCCTGTAATGTCTTCATACTAACCTATAACATATATGTAATGTGTTTTCTGAAGCAGATTGGTATTTTATATTATATTTGGGTCCAACGGTGTGTATAATATATCGAGCTGGCAGTGCATGTCCTTGTGTAACTCTGACTTCTCCTGTTCTACACTCTGCAACAATGTAGATTATTAACTCTCAGTGTGATGTACATCACGCCATCGAGTCTTATTAGAAAATTTACCTCTTATATCTAAATTGATTTCCTCTTTAAGCTCAGATCCGGCCCTTTGGAAAATTCTATCACTGACCGAATTACTTTCGTTCATCGATTCGTTCGTGGAATTGACTATAGCATCTACTTGGAGTGCGGAAATATCACCAGACCTGCAAATCGATTAATTTTAATGAAAACAAATCGATCTTAATAAATATTTATCGCGCTCATTTCCTTAATTATGAAGAAAAAACAGAGAAGTAACGCCGGCCCCAAATGGCTTATTTATAATGTAATCAGTTGTTTAGCGTACAGCCCGTGAAAGATCTCCCATAAAATAAATATTACGTCAAAAATCGATACATCAACTGACTACAGGGAGTTACGTGACACTCAAATCGCAAATGTAAAATTAATGGATTGCAATTTGACAATAACACAAAAAACAGTTTCGCGTCGTTTCCAAATGTGACTCCTAGGTTGTCACTTACCATAAGATAATTTTGTGATTGAGTTCGGAGTCGTACGGGAAGGGTGAGTTATTGTGCTTGGGTGCTCCGCTGGCACTGTAATCAGTCAGATAATGAGCTGGAGCTATTTCGCTCCACCTCGGCAAATCGTTCGGGTGCACCACGTCCGATGCTACCCCTAAGGGCTCCTGATTCATTATGATCCGCATCAAGTATAACCTGAAACAGAACAATCCATTTGATACGGGCACTTGGCTTGCATGACGGCAACAGTGATATTTAAATGTCGCCATCTGGGGCGCAAGTGAAGCACAACCTTTAGGAAGGCAAAAAAAAAAGAAAATACCACGATGCAAGGAAATCTTTGCCCTATAGATGCAACCACTATCATATCGTGTTTTAATTTAATGACTGTCTATTTTCAAGTGATACGAATACATTATCCCTTAAATAATAAATCTAAAAGTATCGAAAAAACTGCTTTTATAACACAAATCTATATGAAATTACTTTTAGATTAGCCTCTATTAAGGTTCACTGACTCAAAAAATAATCAATTTCTTCGTTTTTATAGGGATATATGATTTATAGACTATGCAAAGCAACAATGGTGCTAAAAGGGTTAATGTGTGTATTAATGTTGATTGTTAATAGATAACGAAGACACACGAATAGAAACAGATCTAAATCACTGATTATTCTTTGTAACATTGATACATACCAGAAAACTGTTAAACCATTATTAAATTGACAAAGCCAGACTTTTGCTTTCAACGAATTTGTAACAAACAAGGACCCTAAAGAAACAAAAAGCTAAAAAAGAATTTGAAAAAAAAATTGAGACATCATGTAACAAAATTATAAGAATTTTAATTATATATGGGAGGTTTATTCCAATTTAACAAAATCTAGGTCACTTCAAAAAAACATTTTTTTTACCTCTGTAAACTAAGACTAGTTTTATAACCAATCTTAAGCTACTACCTTAACGTTTTTTTGATCTTGATTATTAATGTTTGTAATTAGATATAAATGGTAGATAGAGGTGTTGTATGGCGTCGTTCAACTCGATCAATTCCAATATCATGCACAATACTACACAATTATTTGCTTGATAAAATTATTCATGTAGATAATAATTACTCATAGCATCAGGTAAAAACCAATTCCTCGTCTGATCACAGGATAAGTGGTCATGACCTAATTTCCTAAGCGTAATAAAATTCAACGAGTTTGCTTGAATAATACCCGTTAACATCACTGAATGAGATATTGATTTCCGAATTGTATTTTTTTAGGAGTATATAAAAAGTGCAGAGATGCCATGTTACCCCTAGTAAAAGAACAAATTTTACTAATTTCCAACGAACGTCATCACTGGAACCCCAGTGGAGTAAACTGCCGACATTTACCATTTAAAAAATGAATTAGTCAACAATGGAACTATTTTTAAATTTGTCCCCAACACTCGATGTTACTAAAATAATTCTAAATGTTCGATACCAAAATTGTCAATAATTTTTAACGTTTAGATTTTCTTTACAATTAAAATTTTATGGCTTTATTTCAAAGAGTAAGCTGGGCGGACATCCAACATATGAATAATGTAGCAATTCTAAATTACCGGCTTTCGACTTGTGGTGACATCATTTACTGTTAAAAGAAACTTTTCCCCTTTTTAAAGCAACAGTTCCTGCAGCAAACATGCACTCGGGAATTTACAAGAAAAGCATGAAAAATCGTTCTTCAATGACAAAAATTCTACATTTATTACAATCTCACTGTTACTCGTAATAACTATCGGAGAGGAACACCCAATTTTTGCTGAAATGATGGCAAAAGTATGGAAATAGAACTGCCTTAAAACCGAAAATCAAACGATCACCTATGCAGTTGTACCATTTCGTGAAAGTTTCCCTGATAGCGGTGATAAAGTATTAATAACAAAACCCCTTCCTCCACCTTGAAGTAACAACGAAAGGACCAATTCGTCATTTCCATTTTCTTTGATTCTATCAACCCACGTTTTTATCCATTTGCCGGTGCAAATCGGTCGATATCCAATATTTTTGTAAGGTTACAGTGTAGGCAGAAACTTAAAGGCGCCGGATTAATATCCCACAGTTAACGTCATCAAAAAAAAACACGAACGCCGGGGAAATATTGTCAGTCAACACTGATTGTATCACACGAATCGATAAAATTATTAATTAGATTAAAGAAAATCGGGGTAAGAAGCTTATCCAGTGGAACTCATTTGGATGCATTTCCACAAAAAAACACATCCAGCGATCGTCGACCTTCTACACCCCAAGAATCGTTGACCTAACTCGTAAACAAGAAAAATAATCACGCTACATAACTAATTGTAGCACTACGATTTCCGATTAATACATATGAGAAAAAGTCATTGTGAAACAACCCCGATAACCCCAACTATAAATAACGCATCAAATAAAAATTATCAGTTTATTTGCTTGGAATTTATAAATTTCGATTAAATATTTCCACATTTGGTTCAATGAAAAGCAAGGATCCGGTGAATGGCTGGAGTCTACAGGATTTAACATTTGAACTGAAAGTGGGTCATTCCCAATGAAATCTCTTACCCTCCTACGGTTGATGACGTCTACTGGAGCAGTGACGTCAAAGACGTCCTGTTGAACTTCTGGGAAAAAATCACTTATTTCTCCAGGATTGCAATCTTCTAGTCACGTTTTAAATGATTCTTTTGTCTTTAAATAGGAAAAATACCGTGTTTTATACATTAAAACCAAAGCAAATAGAGATTAAAGATGATATTTACCAAGTAGTGGACTGACTACTAATAATAAATTATTTGATTCGTTTATTCAGCCAACAGAAAGCTTCAAGGTTATGTACTATTAATATTTGTTCATTAATCTTCTTTACGAGATTTACGTAAAAGCAGAATAAAAAATTGAATTTGGAAAAACTACTACATGTTTACCATAAACAAATACCATAAAGAAATATAACTTGGTTTTCTCGTATGCAAGGCAGGAATTGTTTCAACTCCAGCTTAGATTTATAACGATTAGATTTTTTCAGCCTTGGGCCAAGAATTTCCCTAAAGACTTAAAGTTTAATGATTTCGCTTCCACATGCAAATGATCTTATACTATTTGAAAATAATAAAAACTTAAAATTTGTATGTAACAATAACAGTAATAAAACATTTTTTAGCCATTTTAACAGAAATCAACATGCACTTAATCATTTTCGAAATAGTAGGTAAGTATGTACTACTAATTAAAAAAAAAATCAAAATAGTCCAAAATTGTACTATACCTACATCTTGGCTCAAAATACTACACAGGTGCGCCAGAACTCGCGCCCCAGAGAAAAATGTCATATAAGGAACATGGAAAAAATGTTAAAAAAATTTTATCTATAAAAATTTCGAAGTTATGAGGGTTTAAAGTTTGCACTTTGACTCTATTTATTTCTGTTGGAAAAATATTTTTTCAAGTTTTATTGCCACGGGCTATTAGAAGAGGCAACAAGAAAGCTGTATCCTAAATTGTAACTCTGTTCAATATTATTTGTCGCTTTTATAGGCAAAATTTTTGTCCCTTTAACTAATTAATTGTAAAAAAACATATACAAGATCATCAGCATCATTAAATAGATATAACAAATGTCAAAAAATAAATGTCAAAATTTTTTGACAGATAGAATTTTTTAAACATTTTTTTCATGTCTGGTATCTTACCTTACTTGAAAATTTTCTCTGGGTCGCAAGTTCTGGCGCACTCTGCATAATCTTTAAAATAAAACGCCAGAATAACCACCAATTCCCCCAAAAATACTCTACATTTATCATAAAATAAATATTTACTATTTTAATTTAAAACTTAGAATTTTTTATTTAATTTCGCAACCTTTATCTGTAGTGTAATGTAGTAGTGGAAGTTGAATGCTCTAGATACAATTAATAATTGAAACGTCGCAAACTGAATGACATCACGCAAGAAAGTCTTCAAACAATTTTTCATTTATCAAAAATAAATCAACTGTTTTGTGCATGGGAATTATTAAAATGCATAATAATAAGTTGTGTTATCACTATGAGCAATTAAAAAAAGTTAAAAAAAAGTTTATCTTCTGAACTTGAGGAAATTCAAAGAGAATTATTCTATAAATAAATAGACGTTAGAAACAGTAAGATTCAAGAATCAGATAGTCAACTATAATAAAAAAAACTGCTTATGCACACATTTAATGTTTTTGATCTTTGAATAAATATCGGTCATGTTTTAAACATTTCAAATTTTAGCATTCCATTTTTCAGATTTGCTCATAATTGGATCTTCTAAGACTGGGATTTTTGAGTTTCCAATTCAAAAAATTAACGGGTGGTGAACCCAAGTTCAAGGATGGATTTTAAAAAACCCATAGCTGCGCGACGAAATCAACCTTGAAAGTACAATTTGTGCAATTATTTGATCCAACACCTAAAGATGACTAAATCATAAAAATAGAATGACCAGGTCCAAATTGCTGCCTTTAGTATAATAGAAGTGAAACCAGAAATTTTCCCTGATTGGAGTAATTGGAACCACAAACAATAACATTGTCCAGTATTTGATGTAAACAATAACCTCTCTACATAACAGTAAATTGTAGTGAATTATAAAAACATAATGAAGACAACAATATATAGTTGCGCACGACTATAAATGGCTCTGCTATGGCTAATTATATGCCCACGTAGAAGATAATCATACCCATTTCTAGGTTATTAGTTTATAGTTAGTAGAAGCAAAAAAGTAGGGTATTTTTATAATAAAAGGGAAATCTTATAGGCAAGGGCAAGGTCAACCATAGGATCCACATTCCTAACAATCCCAACTAAACTAAAGAACATAATGTTAATTATTTGAAAGTATTCAACTAATACTTACTTTCAGTATTAACGTTTTCACAGAATTTTACTATTTTCATACAAAACCATTACACTTACCACACGAAACAACACCTACATGAACTGTCAAACCAATGACGTTTTTACGGAAACCCCTTCCACAAATTGGTATTCAGTTGTTTGCGCAACGTAACAACATTGAAGAGTTGGTTTGGTTCTAAGCTTAATAAGAAAGTGCTGCCATGTGGCTGCTGGTTTCGATACAAAGTTTTCAACTCACTTTCATAGATGTCACGTAAATATTTAAAAAAATGCAGTAACCATATTAATATCAATCTTTCTTTCGTTTATAAATAAGGTATGTTTATAGTATTATACTCGTAGTAGAAGAATCTATTATTATGTAGAACTGGTAGAAAAACTACTTGTATGCAGACGAACTAAATACATAAAGTCTGTTTTTTTCTTAATGGAAATGACAAACAGTCTTAACGTTGGTATCACTAGTAAATTCATTCATGGTAATTTTAATAAAGGAAGTTGGCAGTTCCGGTTTTTTTTTTTAATTAATTTGAAAACAATGTCATTAAACGTCAACACAAAAAATCGTCTAAGAAAATTTAGAGACGAAACACCAAAAAAGAAACAAATTTGGTACACTAACAGTTTTTCAAAATTTGGAAACGAATAGTTCGCAAGCAGGAAGTTAGAAAAAGGGCCCGTTAAAATGTAGACGCAATTTGTAATGCAGGTTTGCTAAACATTCTTAATTTTTAGCAAAAAATTGACAAGAATACAAAATAAACATGAATGAGAAAGAACCTCCGAAAGAACGCAATTAAATTAGAGTCTTGTGCATCGTTTTTGAGGAACGAGTTGAAAAAGTAACGATTTTGAAACTAAAGCTGAAGAAGAATTTATAAAATGCATCAACTTTGAGCAGATTTCAAACAATTACACAAAATTTAGTGTCAATTATCATAATACCTACTTGTATCTTTTGGTAAATAACTTTTTTATGTAAATACATCCTTTTTCTTCAAAATTTTTGTAGCAAGAATCTCATTTTTGTCCACAACATTGTACTTACTTGCGGTGTGTTTGTGTCAAAATTATTAGCACTGAATTCTGTAGTTAGATCTCAGGTAATGATGTCTGTCCTCAGATATTCAATTATGGCGCTTTCAAAGAGCAAACAGGCACACAAGATTCATAAAAGTCAAAATTTTGACAACATCTCAATTTGAACACATAACCATAATTTTTTAACAAAATTTCTAGGGACAAAAACAAAGAGCAAACAAAATTTGCAGCTATGGAGACAAGCTGCTACCAATTTTTTCACCAAAATATTGACTTGGTAATTTCCATTAAAAAAAAAACAGACTTTACTTATTATAAAATATCAAATACAGTAGCAATGGTAGCAATATCAATCATTATTTTGTTTATAAATAAAAATGACAAAAAATGAAAATAATTTATTGAACTTTGTTACGCCAAAAATATATTTCAACTGAAACTTAGAAATTTTAGTTTCAATCATAATGATTAATGACAATGAAGCGTGACTTACATTGACATTTTTTGAACTGACATAAATTTGATGTCCAAAATTCCGTGTTTGCAATTGTATGTACAATGATGAGCATTAAATTTTGGTCGTCAATGTCATTGCCTAACACTCTTTTGTGAAACGTAAGTGTGGATGTTAAATACTGTCAAATAGCTGTCTTAAAATTGACGAAACTTCTTACGAGCCCCAAATGATCAACCACCTCAACTTCAAAAAATCCTTTCTCCAGCATGGTAAACATTTTAACTTTATTAAATAATTTAGTGACTGGCGACACAATAAAATATTTGTTACTCGTAATTAGTTTTTGGCGTGGTATTTTGACATTTGTATTTATTCATTTTTGAAATACGGTTGACAGCAGACAACATTACACAAGGAACTACTTTTTTTGACACTAAGATGAAGTTACAAAATGTCATTACCTACCAAAATTTAATGCTCGCCATTGTACATACTACAGGGCGATTCAGATAAGATAATAAGCCTGACGATCTGGCGATGCAACAATTTCAATTAGGATTTGCAAGTTGAATCCTAGTTATCATCTGGTGCCACTCTGACATCAGTGCAGAGAACGATTATTAGTGCCATTCAGTTCTCGAGGAATGATAGAAAAATTAGAGAAGTCTTTCGGTGTAAATCCAATACAAAATGTATAAAACAATGAAACATTAAAGGTAGGCAAACAGTTTTTTTTTATAAATCATAAATTGCTTGTCAAAGCACTATCAGTGCAACATGAGACAACTTGGATCGGATGCAAATCGTACTTAATTAAAGTTAGATCAAAACGTAAATAAAATGTGTTTTTGGGTTGCATCGCCAGATCGTCAGGCTCATTATCTTATCTGAATCGCCCTGTATATAGAACATGTAAAAAAAACACTTATTGTATGAAGACGAACTAAATACTTCTAAATCTATCTCAGTTGCTTTTGTCATTAAAGTTTAAGCTCTAGTGTAATGCACTGTAAATCATTCAAAAAAAGAGTAATTGTATGTAGCATAAGTAGAAGTGGATGATGAAAAGCCCGGCTAGCTCAGTCGGTAGAGCATGAGACTCTTAATCTCAGGGTCGTGGGTTCGAGCCCCACGTTGGGCGACTTTTTTGTAATTAGAAAGCAAATTACTAACACTAATTTTTATCAAAAAAAACTTATTTAAAACAAAAATTTATTTTACATAAAAAAGTTTTTTTCTAAATAATTTAAATACATGTTGCGAAAACAAAAACTGTTGTAGTTTAGAAATGTTAAATCAAAACTAGA